TCCAAGTCTCTTCTGAGATGCATGCAATCTCTTAACTATAATCACCTATAAAAATGAAGATCAAGAAGCACATAACATACCTTCAATATATAATGGCACAGGATATATATTAGTACTCTAAAGTGCAGAGAAGAGAGGATAGCAAGGAAATGCAGGGGAAAAAACCATGTGGGCAAATTACAAACTCTGCATCTCCATGTCTGAAGTCAAAACATTCTTCAGATCTCCACTTCTTTCAGTTTTGTTGACTGCAATACACATCTTTCTCTTGGGCTGATTTCTCTCCCTATTATCTGCTCCCCTCAGCGGGTATGCCATGACTCTGACATCTCTACCATCCTGGGTTCTTCAGGGCAATCCAGGCTTCAACTTCACAGCATCACACAATGGCCTGTCTACTAGACCTCCATCCAGTGAAGCCCCGACACATGACTGGTCTTAGTGGCTTTTTAGGCTCAGAGACAAATTCCACAACCCCTTTCTTTTGTCTTCAACTCTGAAGTCAGAACCACATGGCCAAAGCTTCCAAGTTCTGCCACTTACAGGTTCTAGAACATGGCCCCCTCATTCAATTACCGTGTTTTTTATTTTTGTTTTCTTTTTAAAAAAATTTCTATTAAGAAAAGTATTTCCATTCACTTTAGTCATCAATCGTAGATCCCCCTCTTCCCTCCTCCTACCTCCAGTAATAATCTGAACCCAGAAAATGTGTCAATCATTTTAGTAAGTTGTACGTCAGAGTCCAGTGTACCCCTAAGAAGGACCTGAGCTCATTAATATATTGCCATTCAGTGGGTCAACATTAGCACATTTCTTTGCCAACATCAGTGTTGCAGTAGTATATACGTCCTAGTTTTTGATGGTTGGAGGAAAGCTAGTGTGAGTGTTATAGGCATTTTGGTGATAGGTCATCTCTCTCTCTCTCTCTCTCTCTCTCTCTCTCTCTCTCTCTCTCTCTCTCTGTGTGTGTGTGTGTGTGTGTGTGTGTGTGTGTGTGTGTGTGTG